TAGATAGTAAGTATTATATTATAAATTAACTTTTACAACACAAAATAAACTTTATTAAAACATCATCTAATTAAATATTTTTATTTTTATTTTTTTTTAATAACTAGCTGGTAAGTATTACATTATAAATTAACTTTTATAACACAAAATCAACTTTATTAAAACATTATTTAATTAAATAATTTTATTTTTTATTTCTTAGAATGTAAGTATTATATTATAAATTAACTTTTACAACACAAAATCAACTCTATAAAAACATTTACCTAATTAAATAATTCTATTTTTTATTCATTAGACTGTAAGTATTATATTGTAAATTAACAAAGTAAAACTTTATTAAAACATTACCTAATTAAATAATTCTATTTTTTATTTCTTAGACTGTGAGTATTATATTATAAGTTAACTTTTACAACACAAAATAAACTTTATTAAAACATCATCTAATTAAATATTTTTATTTTTATTTCATAGCTTGTAAGTATTATATTATAAATTAATTTTTACAACACAAAATAAACTTTATTAAACATCATTTGATTAAATAATTTAATTTTTTATTCCATTATAATAACCAGATGGTAAGTGCAATATTATAAATTAACTTTTACAACACAAAATCAACTTTATTAAAACATCATCTAATTAAATAATTTGATTTTTTATTTCTCTACAATAACCAGCTGGTAAGTATTATATTATAAATTAACTTTTGCAATACAAAATAAACTTTATTAAAACATCATCTAATTAAATAATTTTATTTTTTATTTCATAGATTGTAAGTATTATATTATAAATTAACTTTTGCAACACAAAATAAACTTTATTAATTAAATAATTTTATTTTTTATTTCTTTATAATAAATAACCAGGGAGTAAGTATTATATTATTAAATTAACTTTTACAACACAAAATTTACTTTATTAAAACATCATCTAATTAAATATTTTTATTTTTATTTTTTTATAATAACTAGTTAGTAAGTATTATATTATTAATTAACTTTTATAACACAAAATCAACTTTATTAAAACATTATTTAATTAAATAATTTTATTTTTTATTTTTTTATAATAATCAGATGGTAAGTATTATATTATAAATTAACTTTTACAATACAAAATAAACTTTATTAAAACATCATCTAATTAAATATTTTTATTTTTATTTTTTTATAAGAATCAGGAGGTAAATGTTATATTATAAATTAACTTTTACAACACTAAATAAATTTTATTAATAATTTTATTTTTTATTTTTTAGCTTGTAATTATTATATTATAAATTAACTTTTACAACACAAAATAAACTTTACTAAAACATCATTTGATTAAATAATTTGATTTTTTATTTTTTAGGGTGTAAGTATTATATTATAAATTAACTTTTACAACACAAAATAAACTTTATTAAAACATCATCTAACTAAATAATTTTATTTTTTATTACTTAGATTGTAAGTATTTTATTATAAATTAATTTTTACAACACAAAATCAACTTTATTAAAACATCATCTAATAAATAATTTTATTTTTTAGCTTGTAAGTATTATATTATAAATTAACTTTCACAGCACAAAATAAATTTTATTAAAACATCATCTAATTAAATAATTTGATTTTTTATTCCATTATAATAACAGTGAGTAAGTATTATGTTATAAATCAACTTTTATAACACAAAATCAATTTTATTAAAACATCATCTAATTAAATATTCTATTTTTATTTCTTAGAGTGTAAGTATTATATTATAAATTAATTTCTACAACACAAAATAAACATCATTTAACTAAACAAATTTATTTTTTTCTTTATAATAACTAGGGGGTAAGTATTATACATTAACTTTTAAAACACAATATAAACTTTATCAAACATCCCTAATTAATTTTTTTTTTTTTATAATAACTAGTTGGTAAGTACTACATTATAAATTAACTTTTATAACACAAAATCAACTTTATTAAAATACCATCTAATTAAATAATTTGATTTATAATAACCAGATGGTAAGTATTATATTATAAATTAACTTTTATAACACAAAATCAACTTTATTAAAACATTCTATTAAATAATTTTATTTTTTATTTCTTAGAATGTAAGTATTATATTATAATTAACTATTAAAACATCATCTAATTAAATAATTTGATTTATTATTTCATTATAATAACTAGTTGGTAAGTGTTATATTATAAATTTACAAAATCAACTTTACCTAATTAAATAATTTGATTTTTTATTTCATAGATTGTAAGTATTATATTATAAATTAACTTTTACAACATAAAATAAACTTTACCAAACATCATCTAATTAATTATTTTTATTTTTTATTTCTTAGTGTGTAAGTATTATATTGTAAATTAACTTTTACAACACAAAATAAATTTTATTAAAACATCATTTAATTAAATAATTTGATTTATTATTTCTTTGTAATAATCAGTGAGTAAGTATTATATTATAAATTAACTTTACAACACAAAATCAACTTTATTAAAATATTACCTAATTAAATAAAACATTTTTTATTTCATAGATTGTAAGTATTATATATATATTATAAGTTAATTTTCACAGCACAAAATCAACTTTATTAAAACATCATCTAATCAAATAATCTGATTTTTTATTCTTTATAATAACTAGTTGGCAAGTATTATATTATAAATTAACTTTTAAAATGCAAAATCAATTTAATTAAAACATCATCTAATTAAATATTTTTATTTTTATTTTTTTATAATAACCAGATGGCAAGTATTATATTATAAATTAACTTTTACAACACAAAAACAACCTTATTAAACATTCTAATAAATAGTTTTGTTTTTATTTCTTAGAGTGTAAGTATTATATTATAAATTAACTTATTAAAACATCATCTAATTAAATAATTTGATTTATTATTTCTTTATAATAATCAGTGAGTAAGTATTATATTATAAATTAACTTTTAAAATGCAAAATCAACTTTGTTAAAACATCATCTAATTATTTTTTATTTCATTATAATAACCAGCTGGTAAGTATTATATTATAAATTAACTTTTACAACATAAAAAAAACTTTATTGAAACATCATCTAATTAAATAATTTTATTTTTTGCTTCTTTATAATAACCCAGCTGGTAAGTATTATATTATAGATTAACTTTTACAACACAAAATCAACTTTATTAAAACATCATCTAATTAAATAATTTGATTTTTTATTTCTTAGAAAGTAAGTATTATATTATAAATTAACTTTTACAACACAAAATAAACTTTATTAAAACATCATCTAGTTGAAGAACTACAAGAAATTCCTTCACCACAATTATCCAAATCACCATCACCTCCAATTAGTCAAGATAGCAAAGAAACAAAGGATGAGCCAAACAATGGAATAATTAATGAAAACAAAGCAACCATTGATAAACCTAAGGATAATTGGGTAGAATGGCTTAATGTGGCAATTCAGAATGAACACATTAATTTTTATAAATATAGTAGCTTTAAAATTACTCAAACAATTGGTTCAGGTGGTTTTGGAGAAGTTTATGAAGCAATATATAACAATAGCAGTACTTTTGCTTTGAAATCCTATAAATATGATATAACAAATATGAAAGAAGTTATTAATGAGGTAAATTACAATATATTTTTGATTGTGGATTAAAAAAAATTTTCAACTAACAATAATAATTGCTCAATTAGTTGAAATTGTTACGCAAAGTTGACTACCATAAAAATATTATTCATTTTTATGGTGTCACTAAAAATGAAGGTATGTTAAATTATTTACTATTTTAATTTTGTTTTGGTTATGTGTGAAAATGAAATCTATGGGAATTTGCAATTCACATGCAAATTCAAATTAACCAATCAGAATTTCATATCCAAACACCCCACCCAAAATTTTAATTATAAATTTCAATTTCACTTAGTTTCAATTTCACATACAACATTTCTATTAACTAATATCTATATTTATATACAAAGGAAATGAGAAATATTTATTGGTCCTTGAGTATGCAGATAGTGGAACATTAAGGAGCTACCTACAAGAAAAGTCCAAATCAATCAATTGGGATCTAAAGCTGAAATTTGCATATGAAATTGCATCAGCTGTTTTATGTCTACATGAAAACAATATTATCCATCGAGATTTGGTAATAAATAATAAACTTATTATTTTTTAAAAAAAAATTATATTTAATAATGTTTATCTTTTTTTGAAAAGCATTCAAACAACATCTTGGTTCATCAAAAAACCATAAAGTTGGCAGATTTTGGACTTTCCCGTAAAATACATGAATCTACAACTACTTCAGCATTCCAATTAGCAGGAGTGCTGCCTTATATTGACCCACAATGCTTCAAGTCTAATAGCAAGCCAAATAAAAAATCAGATATATACAGTGTGGGTGTTTTATTATGGGAATTGACTAGTAACAAACCACCTTTTAGTAATCTGGAACCACATTATCAAAGATATGGTTTAGCACTTGATATTTCTAATGGAATTCGTGAGAAACCTATTCCTAACACACCTGATGAATATGTTAATTTATACAAAGGTAAAAAATCTATATATATGTATTTAAAAACTATATATTTATATGCATTAAATTTTTATTAATCATTTACTTGTGTCTAGCATGTTGGCAGGATAACCCAAAAAGCAGGCCTGATATTCAATATGTTGAAAAAATGCTTATTGGAATGATTTCAGACTCAAATATAGTTGATAAAGTTAATAATGAGGAAAATGATGTGCAATCAAAAAATGAAGACAGTAGTTCTTTCAGTCATCCCAGTACTATTTTAACAGAACCTACCAGCAGTTATCTCTGGCAAGAAGAATTTAATAATAATGTCAAAGAATTTTCAGAGAATACAGAACCCTGAAAACTATACATACTATCAATAATATAATTATATTATTGTGATATTGTTCATAATTTTATTTCTTATTTATATAACACATCCTTTAACTAAACTCTTCTGAACTGAGACACATCAATTGTTACATGATTCTTTTTAAAAATTTCAAAAACCACTCATTGAGCATTTGAATAATGCTAATTCTAAAATTTTGATTTATATTTTTTTTGAAACAAAACAAAAATTGTTATTTTGTCATTAAACATTGATTTTTTTGACTCCAAACAAGCCAGCTTGAACATAAAGAAGCACTAGCTCAAACCTGAGCCAACTTGAAATTTAATATTATTTTTTATAAAATCATGATTTTGCAAACCACTGAAAATAATTGAATAATTATAGAACAATAATAAATCAAATTTTAAATCATCAATAATCTATTCCAAAAATTTAAAAAAAAATTTGAGAATAATTCAAGATTTCATGTTTTAACAATATTTGTGCTTCTAATAAAAATTGTTTTTTAGATTCTGAAATATGCAGTCAAACCTCATTTCAGTGAATCTATGAGTGTGTGATCTTACACCACTGGTAAAATAAAAAATTGGATGTTATATTAAAATAATAATAAATAACAGATTATAATAAGTACTAGGTCCTGGACAAAGAGTATCTTTAAGGATACAGTCCAGCATGTGATCATTTATTAGTAAATCCGGTTCTAAAAAAATGCCAATCAATTTCCTTGAAAAAAAATACACATGAGATATACAAAACTTTTTAGACATTCACTTAAATCTGTTGATATCACATTTATTGGTTAATTGTAGACGCAATCACCACCCTTCAAAATTTTAAATATCATTATTATACCAATTTTATAGAAAAAGCTCAAAAATAGTTTCTCATTCCATAAGAAA